TCACCACGCATTTATCCCTCTGCCCTTCAGTCAATCCCACCTGCGTTTATCAGCCAGGCTGGCACAATAAACTATCTCATCTCGTGACTTCTCTCCCCTCCGATCTGATCTGTGTTCATACAGTTGCTGGCGTTGCTGCTGTTTCAGTGTAGATGCGGATTGTTCCAAAGAGCTCATCAATCTCATGGAAAACTCACTGGCTCATCCCCCAGTCTCCTCCGGACTTGTAATGCCCCCCTTGTCACCTACTGGAAATCTCTCTTTCCCTGTGCTTTCTGTCCTGTCTTACCCATTGGCCCATCCTTGTCACAGGACCACGTTGTTTTAAGGACTGTCGTTTTATCATAGATTTTAATGCCTACTTCCATAAGCACCTCCTCATTATTCTGATTCCAGAAACTTCTTTTTTTTTTCTTCCATATGAACGATTGGATTTCGGTGGAAGGTACCTTTCTCCTGTATTCACTTGGGATTTTAGTTAAAACTGCAATGACTAACAGGTGGAAATGTCATATTCCATGGGACTGTTTTTTTCTTTTTCACTACAGATCTAAAAGGCCCCAAGTCCCCACCTTGGGACTGACTCCAAACCCCTTCCATTCCACCATGAGTCCATGCACCCCCTCCTGGCCTCGGTGTAACTGGGAGTGCTTCTGACTCCTGAGAAATGAGGACCCTCCCAGTCCCAGGCTGATGCTGGGCTTCTCCTGAATTTCCAGTCATCTCAGAAGGGAAGTCAGCAGCCTAGGTTACTGTGGTAGTTACCTCATCTGGTGTCAATTTGAGACTAAAACAGGAAGAGGTGGAGTTTAGCCTGTCAATCGGGTCGCAGCTTGATGACCTCATTTGGAGGCACTAAGGAGATAAACAGCTCACTGGCAGGGCACACACAGACTCCCTGTAAAACATTCTTGTTGACAAGCCACATGGAGACAGGCTGATGGCAGCCAGAACCTCAGAGCTGGAGGAGCCACGTGGAGACCCACACCAGTGCTGAGATGCTTCTACCACCACTGGATCCACAAGACTTTCACCCACTGAGCTGCAATCTTCCTGCATTCGGTGTCACTGCATGGCTGTATGAGTCTAAAGAGGAATATATGGACTAGTATAGACATGATATATGGAGTAATATCAGACGTATGGACTTGATCTGGACTGGGGGGATGTTTTCTCAATATTCAATTGTTCTTTTATATAAAACTCTCTCTTATACACATAGGAGTGTGTATGAATTTGTTTCTCTGGTCAACCCGGACTAACACGGTTGCCCTCCTTCCCAGAAGGGTGACATGTAAGCCGTGAGAGCCTTACCAAGAGGTCATTCCGTGTCAGTAAGTGCCCACATGTTGAACACCAACCATCTTGGGATACTGCTTTGCAAAATGCTGCCAGGAATACCATTCCGATTCCCACTTTAAAAGGTATAGCCCTGACTGGGAGTGTAGGTTAGTGTTGTTTAAGGAGCTACACATTTTTAAAGGCCCCGTTTTCAGTGATGACCCTATTTTTCCCATTATATCTGAGAACTTTAGGGACAGCAAGTAATTACACGTGGATTCAAGACATCCCAACTCCCACGATGTCTGTTAGCAGCACAAAAGCATGACAAGCAGGGTCCAAATCCTCAGACGTCTTGGGTGATGTGGGTTAGCTCCATGGCACCGTCTACAACAAGACGGGACTGGCCTGTATCTCAGAAATACCGCACTCTCCAGAGAACACTGTTCTCCCCCTTGCTTGCCCCACTTTCCTTAGAAGGCAGATGCGAGGGGGTAAGAAAACATGGCCCCTGGGGGTCCCCAGAAACCACAACTTTGCACCCCTCGGGAGCTGCACTAGGCGAGGGAGGAGAGGGAGGGCAGGGCAGGCACGGCAGGAAAATCTCAGCGAAGTTCCCACTGTTACTCTGGGTCACTAAGTACACGAGGAATAACTTTCCTAAAACAAACATGTGGCCTTTCCCACCTCCGAGATAAAACCCCAAGTATCACCCCCATCCTTACAGGTCCCACTCGACACAGTACCTGCACTTCCCTCTCGGGCTATGTATCAGAGCTTCAATTCGGAGCGCCCAGGTTTGCAAGAGAGGTATGTGTGATAGCTAGTTTTTTATGCCAGAATGGCTCCCGTAGGAACACGCAAGTGGAGCCGTGGAGCCTGTCAATCAGGTTGCAGCTTGATTGGAGGACTTCCGAGATAAACGGCTCTCCGGGGCCAGCCTTCTCTCTCTCTCCCTGGTGGTAGGACTAGCATGCTGCTGCCTGGGTTAACAGCTCTGCACTACCTGTGGGCCGAGCCCGCCGTGGATTGTGGTGGATCACGTGGCCATGCTGTACACTGCTAAGCCTTGCAGCTCCATCGTGACCTGCTTCGCTACACGCTGCTGTGCTCTTGGCCTCCGCTAAGCCTCGACAGCTCACCTTTCTGGTGCTGCCGCCCCACCTTGCTGCCTCTGCTGCCTGCAGGCAGCCTCCACACCTCCCACCAGCTCCTTCGCTGTCTGCTTCCTTGACCTTGGACCAGTGGTTGGAAGGATCTTCAGTATATTAATGTTGGACTGAGCCCTCTGTACTGCTGTGTGGGCTCCTTGGCTGTCGTATCCCTTTTTGCTATACAAACCTATCCTTACATAATGTATCATCCTAAGTGTCCTGCTTCCGTTGCCCTAGAGACCCCTACCTAGCACAGCATGTATGGCAGTAGCAGGGCCCTACATAGGCTAAGTCTCCACTGAATGCCTTCTCTGACCATTATCCAAGGAGGTGGGTCATCTTGCCCTATCCATTTGGCCCTGACTGTCTGTCAGAAGGCCATGGACAAACCTCTTAAGTCCTTCTATCAAGCTATGTGCATGTCCCGACCATGGTCCCGTTCCGCTACTATGGTCCCACCTGCGACTCTGATGTACTGATCTGCCACCAATCACACCTTGGTGACAGTGTCCTTTGTCCACCCAGGAGGCTCTATTACCTCAGGCCTCCACTGTGAACCCCCAGACTGAAGGTCTCCCTCATCTGGAGGAGGTATCCGTGTCTTACTGTGTTTCTTTTAGGACTTAAAAAAAAAGTTCTATTTAAATTATATTCAAGGTGGGGTCTCTTTGTACCTTACCACAGCAGCAGTCCAGGGCTCAACTACCTGCAGGACAGGCCTAGATATCAAGCCCCTTGGCCCACGAATGTTCTAGAAAGCTGTGGAACACCATTTGCTCTCGACTCACACATAGGACTCACTTCAGCGTGCTGGGGTTGAACTCATAGGTGTTGTCCCAGAAGAGGACCTTGCTGTGGTAATCCTTGTCTGCGCTGCGGGGGACGAGATGTAACTCAGCTGTGGTCGACCAGATGACCCCGTCCTCCTTCAGCCACGTGTCCCGGGCATACAGGATGGATTCGATCATGAACTCAAACTGCATGACAAGGGAAGAGACACGTAGTGTTGGAATGAGGGCTTTCCTCTCTCCGTTCAGTCTGACTGACCCATGCACTGAGACTGTCACAAGTTTCAGCATAAGAGCACACAGCCAGGTGCATCCTGCCCCGCACCCCAACAGGAAAGCACTTTAAAAGATCTCTTTTACATGGATGCAGGGATGCCATTCGAATAAAAACTGGGTTACCCTAATGATCGGGAGAGATCCTGCATGCTCGTCCACCTCAGACACTGAGGAGTCCATCCCTACTGGACTGGGAAAGAACCCCCGCCTTACTTGGGGGACCAGGACTACCGTCGTGGCGCACATCAAGGGCAATTTGCATAGCACGGTTCACTAAATCTTACTGTGGTATGTAGCAACGGGGCTCTTCAATGTTCATGAGCAGCCATCTCAGATGCAACTGTTTGCCTCCCTCATCTAGAGGAAAGGAGTTTGCTAAAAATCAAAAGGCCTGTGGAGTCGCCCAGTCCGCTGAACGAGTGGACAATGTCAACATTGGTCTCCCCAGCCAGAGACCAGAAGAATGAGATGGCGCCAGGCGACCACCATCGACGTGTCTGCAAAGGGTCACATTAGAAGGTCCTGGAGAGAGAGAAAGAGAGAGAGAGAGAGAGAGAGAGAGAGAGAGAGAGAGATGGGGGAAGAGGGAGGGAGATGTGAACTGAAACTCAAAATCATTTTAAAAGGCTGGGATTACTGGTGAGACAGATACTGGTGGATTCCCCCAAAATTGGCTTAGTCACCCTTCTGGTGAAGAGGCAGGCAGACTCTGGGGTGAAGCTCCCACAAGCCAAGATTCCTGAAGCCACCAGAACCCAGAGGAGGCGAGAAAGGATTGCCCCTAGCGTCTCTATAGCCTGCCAACACCTTGCTCTTGGACTCGCAGCCTACAGAACTGTGAGACAGTAAATTTCTGTTCTTAGAAGCCACCAACATGGTGGTACTTTGTCACAGCAGCCCCAGGACATGAACACCAGGTCTGCATTCGGGGCCATCGCCCCCAGTGTCTTCCCATCCCTGTCTGCAGGACAACCTTGGCCCATCAGTTGCTCCCTTGACACATTCTCATCCTCTAACCCATTCACCTGCAAAATCTCCAGCCCTTCATAAAGCCAGCCTCCTGAAGCTCTGTGGGCTAGCCACTGGAGGTGCCTTTCAGCCCACGAACACAGAACAGCTGCTCTGTGAACCTGGGACCATTGGAGCTTCATGGTCTACCTGACCTCCCACCCAACCAGGAGGCTTCCCCAAGCATGGCACCCCACAGACAGAACCCCCAGGACTACTCAGTAAGTACTGACAGAACGAACAATGGTATTTAATGCAAAGCCTACGACCTGCTTTGGAGAGGATGGTGTTATGGTTACATTGTGTCCACCACCACCCTCACTCACCCCAAATTATGTGTGTGCTGTAAATCCTAATTCCTACATACCTTGGGCATAAGCCCATTCAAGAATAGAGTTTTCTTTGTTACGTCCGTGAGGCCATACGGAGCTGGGTGTGAGATATGAAAACAGCCGACGAGGCACAGAAGCAAGGGTACAGTGGGAGAAAGATAGATGCCACTCGGCAGTTGCCCAGGGACACCGAAAACCATGCTGGAGAGGCTGAGATAAAGAGTTTCTTCCCCAGCGCAGGTAGGCAAGCCTTCACCGTGAGCCAGTGCTCGGAGGTCAGACTCCCAGCATCCTCGGCTGTGAGAAAGTAAATTTCTGTTCACTAAGTCACCCAGCGGTGGTATTTCTGTAACAGCCCACAAAGACTCAGATAGGTGGCACCGCTCTCCCTCCTTGCACCTTATTTCAGAGGCTGTTCAGCCAACTGTCTCTTGGGGGTGAGTGTCCTTTGTCAGCATATCCCCCTGCCTTTACGTCCATACAAAGCTGTGGGCAGCATTTAGGGACTGCTTCTTAGTGTTTGCATGGGCTTGCCTGCTGGAACCACCGACTAGGTCCCCCACACTTTCACCCAGGTATTATTTTCTGGGTTTTCACAAAAGCGATGAAATTTCCAATAGAAGGGATTCACTCTGAAACCTCATGTCCCAAGATGCTAAACTCAGAATCTGCCCCAGGAGCAAAGGGTAGGCTGGCAACCTCTGCCAAGGCACCAGGTCCATCTGGACTTCCATGTCCACTTATTCCTCTCTGCACTGACTCATCCAGGAGTCATGGGCAGGAGATAGCTACACACAGTAAGAGGAAGGTCCCAGTCAGGAGAACTGTAAGGTGCAGGCAGCAACTGGGCCTTTTGTTCTGCATTTCTGAGAACCAGACAGCCCAAAGCTATTGAATATGGGCTGACTAGACCAAGAACCACATCGGGGTCTGATGCTGAGCTCGGATGGCATCATGGGCTGCTAACCACAAGGTCAGCGGTTTGAAACCACCAGCTGCTCCATGGGAGAAAAATGAGGCTTTCTACTCCTGTAAAGAGTTCTAGACTCTGAAACTCACCGGCGACAGTTCTAGAGGGTCACTGTGGGTCAGAATCGACTTGATGGCAGTGAGAGTGAGCGGCAGGATGTAATTTGTCGTGGCCATGTGGTGAAGGAAATAAAAATGTTGAGCCCTGAGGCTCAGATGGAGCTTCCTCATTGATAAGAAGGGACATCTGCTCTCTGGAAAGTAGCAGATGCCCTGGGGATACGAAAGTTCCACCCTGGGAGCTCTCTTGGGCCTTGCCTTGTACATGTCTCTGCAGCCTTTTCTCTTCCAGTAAAGCTGGAGTGACAGCCGTGGCGTTTCCCATGAGCACCGTAATTCCAGTGACATGCGGGTCTCATCAGAGTAGTAGGTGCCCACTGGTAGGAAGCAGAGAAAGTCACCTGAAACCCTGGGTCCATGACTGGTACCTGGAAGGGTAGAGGAAGACCTCCAATTTGGGGCCAGCGAGTCTAAAGTGAGGAGAGTTACATGAGCTCCTAAGGTTGGAGCTGGTACCTACTGGCCTAGCACTTGGCCAACAAGGATGAGGGAGGCTGGCACTGCATGGACAGCCGGGGTCTGAACCGAAGAGGGAAAGGCAGCTGAGATTTCCACAGGACAATTTGGCATCAGAAGTCTTGGTCTCTCTGGACTAGTTGGTGCAACTGGCCTCGTTGGCAGGATTTGCTAGGACAACCAGGAAACTGGTACTTCTGTCCGCGTGCAACAGTAAGTCTCGAGAAGAGAGAGGCCGGCCTGCACAGCTACGCCTCTCAAGCACTGACCATGATTTCCCCAGTCCTGCAGGATACCTGGTCTCCAAGGAGTGAAGCATCTCACGCTACGGAGAAGGGACCGATTCTGCTTGTCTAAAGAGCTGATGGCTGTTTTGACATGGGGTAAATCAGTGATTCTCCACCTTCCTCATGCTGCGACCCTTTCATACAGTTCCTCATGCTGTGGTGACCACCCCCCAACCATAAGATTATTTTTGTTGCTACTTCATAACTGTCATTTTGCTACTGCTATGAATTGGGTGACCCCTATGAAAGGGTCTTTGACCCCCAAGGGCCCGAGACCCACAGGTTGAGAACTGCTCGTGTAAATCAAGGAGTGCAGAATTTGGGAGGAAGGGCTAGAGAAATAAGCTACCACCTTCAGAAGTGTACAGACCTAGATGGGGGATATGTCAAGAAACAATAGCTTCGCAGTTTGCTATTTTTGTTCACTCAAAGGTTCTATTAATTTAGAGCAAACATTTTTAACCAAAGAGAACAGGACAAAATTATGTCCAACCTTTTAAAGACAGGCGGAGTACAAAATCTTAGTACCATAACACCATCGCTACAGAACTGTACACAAGACCCTAAAAACCCTTCCCTCCTCTACATGAACCAGGTTGGTTGGCCACCTCTGTCCCCTGGGATCGTTGTGAAGTGGTGTGTTAACCTTAGGACTCAGTGATGCTGCTTATGCCAAAAGTAACCCTGACGGGAGATGTGCCGAGAGAGAACACTAAGACACTTGGCAGGGATGCCCTGACTTTAGGTTTCTCTGAGTGTGATGACTCCTGAAACTGGGCGTGTCTCTTGCAGGGACCCTGGAAGGTCTGCCTATGAAACAACCACAAGATGTACTGGCACTTGTAAGGTACACAGCTTTGAGATCAGAATGGATCCGCAGCATGGCTCTTGTCCCCTTGAATCAGAGCCGCTGGCCTGCTCCAGTGAACTCCCAGAAGCCAGGTCCCTGAACCCAGCCTCTGGCAAGCTTGACTCTTGAGCTGACTAGTGCCGAGCATGACTTATGGTCATTGTGTGAAGCTGAAAGCTAAGCAAAGGCTGCAGTAGCCACCCCACCCTCACGGGTACTACAATGATTGATAAGCAGCAATGAACAGAAAAGACCCACTAAAAAGAGAAGCAGCCGGCACATCAGAGAATGCCGAAGAATAAGAAGGAGTGATAAAGACAAGAGCTCTGGCCACCTGATGCTTACCATCCACCGTGAGGATAACTGGTGCCTCAGAAAAGAAGCCAGCCACGGACACAGACAATCTATTCAAAGGCGAAAGAGCCAACTGTGCCAAATACAATAATGAAAATACACCGAGTCCAGAAAAAATATACCACCGACCAGTCAACACCTATCTCTGCCAAGTCATTGATTTTCACAATAAATAAAGCATTCTTAGGTTTCAGCCTAGAAACAACGGTAAGTCACATTTAAGGGAACAGAGGAAATCAAGAAGGCCCCAGACTTCTCCATCGTACTTGCAATGTCAAAATGCCAAGGGAAAAAAATTGTAATCCCAGAATAATGTCCCAGCAGACATCATTCAACATGAAAGAACATGAAATATAAACCCAAACTTCTAGAAATAACAACAATCTCTAGATGGGATTAACAATAGATTGGACACCATACAATAAAAGAACTCACTGACTTGCCACCGTGCCAATATAGCTATCCAAAATAAGAGAAAAAATGAATAAATAAATAATAGCAAGTATTAGTAAAATGAAAACCAAGTGGCCTAACACACATGCAATAGCATTCACAAAGGCAGAAACAGAAAAACATCTTCCAAAAGAATCCTTCTGACATGTTCCTAAATTTGATAACTATCCAAGCTGGTCAGCAAACTACAAACCTACAATGTACGAAGAAAAGATGTCGCTTTTGTATGACAGAGTTAAGTAGGAAACACAGGCCCTGGTCGGCACACTGAGCTGAAGACACTCCCTTGTGTGGTCCCTTTACAGAAGTGTTCCAACGTGTGTTCTGAACAATGAGTAGAGCAAACCCAGGAATGATGTTCCTAAAATTAGGCCCTAAAGCGAGAGAAAAGAACCCACCATCTGGCCAGCGGAACAGGGACTTGGAAAAGAACGACCAGAGTCCCATAGCTGCCGAAATACTCTTCATCCTGCCGCGTGTCTGCAGGGTCGTCCTCCTCCAGTGCTTCCCCACGTGGTTAGCCGGGACGTAGCCGCAGCAGCCTGCACGCTCGCCCCACCACCAATCAGCAGTCGTTCGTTTCAGGACACGGATTTTTTCTCCTCTCGAAAAACCGAGCTGCGAAAAGTAAAAAGGAAGAAAGGAATTAAAGATTCAGTAACACTAGTCATTGGTGTTTCCGGGGTGGGTTGGTGATAAACCGTAGTAAGCAAATCATGGCAATTTCAATAAGTAGTCAGTGGGTAATTACTGTGGCAGGCAATTTATAAAATGACACCAGATTTAGAGTTTGGGGAAACACCCACTGAAAGAAAAAATAACAAAACAGCACAGTTTATTTGATATTGTTTTGTTTTTTTAAGGAACCGAAAGCTTTAAAATGCATAATGTATGTTTTCAATATTATTTAGAACAAAATTTCTACCCAACCTCTTTGCTGTAACTCAGCTTAGCTGTAGACAACTTAGTGACTACAGACTTGCTCTCAAGTAAGGATTTTTATTTCATGGCCTGACTTTTCATTCACTAAGGGGCCTTCGTGGTGCCATGGTTACAAGATGGGCTGCTAACTACAAGGTCAGCAGTTCAAAACCACCAGCAGTTCCACCAGAGAGAGACGAGGCTTTCTACTCTGTAAGCAGTTACAATCTCAGAACCTCCCAGGGCCAGTTCCCTCTGTCCGATAGTCACTCCGGGTCAGTATGGACGCAATGGCAATGAGTTTTGCTTCGCTTTGTTGTTTTTGTTTTTTCCCATTCACTGGGACAAGTTCTTAGTGTGGGTTTCCAAGCAGAAACTGGTGAGTTTTTACTCACCGTATTGCTGACTCTCCCTTATCCCATCATGCCTGTCTTTCCCCATCATACTCAAGGTCAGAATTTGTTAGGCACAGAAGAGAAGGGCTTCAGGTGGTTCTAAACACCTGATGACATCTTTAACTTGGGTGTGATTTTCAGCTAGACCAGTGGTTCTCAACCTTCCTATTGCCACACCCTTTAGTACAGTTCCTCATATGGTGGCGACCCCCCAACCGTAAAATTATTTTTGTTGCTACTTCATAACTGTAATTTTGCTACTGTTATGAATCAGGTGACCCCTGTAAAAGGGTCTTTGACCCCCTAAGGCAGGGGTCCTCAAACTTTTTAAACAGGGGTCCGGTTCACTGTCCCTCAGACCCGTTGGAGGGCCAGACTACAGTTTAAAAAAAAAACTATGAACAAATTCCTATGCACACCGCATATATCTTATTTTGAAGTGAAAAACAAAATGGGGCAAAAACAACCAGCGGGCTGGATAAATGTCCTCGGCGGGCCGCATGTGGCCTACAGGCCGTAGTTTGAGGACCCCTCCCCTAAGGGGTCGTGACCCACCAGGTTGAGAACAGCTGAGCTCGGTGTCCAGGATAGGCAAAATTTCCATCAAATTTTGCATTGAGCATGTTGGAAGTCATTTAAAAATGTCTGACCTGAACAGTTAAAATTTGATTAGTAGATCCCCACTATGATACAGGCTGGACCTGATCTGATTTCCAAAATTCTCTGTATTTTTGGTTAGTATTGTTTTGTTCAATTTTTGTTTGTTCATAGTAGAATGCATCTCAGCGGTGTTATGTCAATGGAGGTCACCCTCTTGAAGGTGTGTCATGTGCTTTTCCGTTTTTCGGTCTGTGAAACCCAGGACTGATGAACCTCTAGAAACAGCACCTCGAATAAAGGGGAGGAGGTACGGTCGAGGGGATAAAAGGGAGACGATGTCAAGGAGTCCATGTAGAAAAAGAATGTTTGGAAACTGATTGTGGTAGCAACTGTACAATTCAACTTGACATGATTGAACTATGGAATGATATATGTCTTAAATTCCACCTAGTAAAAAAATAAATAAAAGGGGTGGGGCTTCTGGTGAGTACACTTCTCATGTATGAGGCCCCCAGAAAGCTATCTGCATTTCGTCAGTAGCAGAGTAGTCTGCGATGGCCACAAACTCCTCGGGCCGCACACCCTCCTGGAAGCCCTTTTCCTCACTGTCCTCGATGGCTGCTTCCTGTTCCTGATCAAAGCCAAAACCTCATATGTAAAGGAATTTCTTACACATTAATCATCCTGTGGATCTCTGGTACTTTTCATAGGATTCATTTCCAGATATGACACTGATACGTCAGAGACCGTATGAATAGGAAGGGCTTCGAAAAGTTCATGGAAAATGGAATTAAATGACAATAGAATTTTCCATGAATTTTTGAAACCCCCTCATATTTCTGAGAGATGACTCAGATCTGGCATTTACAAGGAACACTGTCAACTTCATATGAAAAAGTAAGCCCAATTTCAAAGTGGACAATAGACTTGTATAAGCGCATCATACAAGAACACATCCAAGTGGCCAATAAGCATAAGAGATGCAAATGCAGTCACAAGTTACCTCTATATACCAGAACGGCTAAAGTGAAAGAGATCTGGTAATACTAAATATAAGCAGGGATAGGGGCAACTGGAACTTTCATCAGGAGGCATATGATCTGAGATAGTTTATTGTGCCAGCCTGGCTGATAAACACAAGTGGGATTAACTGAAGGGCAGAGAGATAAATGGCTTGGTGAGCCTTGCCTTTCTTGTCTCTCTTTGATCATCGGACCAGTGTGCGGCTGCCTTGCTTGTTCTGTGCCTCAATTAAAGGCTACACTACCTGTGGGACGCCTAGCCTGTGGACTGTGTGGCTGTAAGTTGAGGTCCCTTTAAGACATCTCTGGAGCTGGGGACTGGCAATTGGTGACCTGCCTTCTGATTGGCTGCTGTGCTTACATAGCCTAGCTCTCTCTATCAATAGAGGAAGATCTGGCAGCAGACGATACTTGAAGGACTGCTAGTCTCTCACAACTCTCTCTCATGGACGTGAGTTGTACTGAGCCATTTGTAGTACTTTATAATTTAACTGTTTATTTCTTGTATTATATAATCTGTATATGATTTAACAGTTCATTTCTTGTTATATATCTAATTATCTTTATAAATAAATATATTAAATTATCAGCAATTTGGTTTTATCTCTCTAGAGAACCCTGTCTAACACATGGTCCAACTTTGGAAAACTCTTGGACTGCATTCCTACCTGCCCTGTAACGCAGAAATCTCTTCTCTGGATGTACCCCAAACAAGTAAGTATGAAAGTGCCTCCAGGAATATTAACAAGAAGCTTTTTTACAGTTGCCAAATTCTGGAAATAACTAAGGAAATGCAAACACAGCAGTAAATTCATATCATGGAATACCACACAGCTCTACAACCGAACAAGACAAAACCTCTAAAGAAGTGGAGAGTGGCACCAACAAAACACGGCGCTGAGCCCAACCAGACAGGGAGGACACCGCTGCTGATGTTGCTTTGTCAGACGCCATGAAGTGGGCTCGGAGTCGTAGTCTCCTGGTGGACACAACCCTGCCGCCCCTGGGCCGTCTTCACAACTGCCGTGCTTGGGTCTGTTGTTGCAGGCGCTGGATCGGTCCACGGCGTTCAGGTCATCCTCTCTGTGGCTGACCTATTTGACCAAGCATGCGGCCCTCTGCTAGGAAGTCGTCTCCCCAGCTGACATGTCCAAAGGAGCTGAGCTGACGCCTCACCTGCTTTGCTTCTAAGGAATGTCTGCTTGCACTTCCTCAGACACAGGCTTTTTTGGCTTCTGGCAGTTCCCGGTCTTTCCAGATTCTTCGCCAATACCCTGTTTCAAATGTGTCTCTGCCAAGTACACATCCTGTAATGGTATTGGTCAAAACAGGAATTATGTTGGGAGCTTGGAGTTACTCCCTAATAGGCAGCATATGTGTCTCAAAACAAAGCAAGTCCAAGTGGAAACTAAATCTATCATTTACAAATGAATTTATGAAGAATCAAACTGAAAAACAGCAGCCATTTTTAGGAAAGACCCAAGAGACTGAGTAAAATCTAATTTAGATGCTCTCGATATAATCCCAAGAGAGCATGACTTCAACGTAAAAGGCTTAGCGATCTCTAGGTTTGTTCCCCAAACTTTCATATGCATGCAAAAAAAAAAAAAAAAAAACGCAAAAAAAAAGCAGAATAATGGTTGCTGGGATAACCACTTCATGTAAGCACATTGCAAGGATGTGGGTGGAAGTGTAGTACTATAGCTATACCTGATCATTTTAAAATACACTACTTTCCAGATAAAACTTCAAAGAAGTTTCATATAGTCAATAGTCTGATTCATTAGCCCCTCAAAAATAAAAGAATTGGAATGTGTTCAATCAGCATTTTCCTAAAGATGGTCTGAGACCATCTCTTTGTGGTGAAATAAATCTGGGCACCTTCTCTCCAGGTGCTCAAAACCTGCTATCGTTAGGCTAGTAGAGGCTCTACATCCAGAAAGAAATCTATTGAACTCTAAATTGGGGTTTCACACACATGAACATCCGAGGACCTGGCTATCTTTTGAGTACACTGTGGGGTTTGGAGATCTATGTTATCACTCTTAGTTCCTCAAAAAATAGCTATCAATAAAAAATAGGCTAAGGCCAAAGAGAGGCCTTGGGGCCAAGGCTCCCAGGGAGAGTGTCCCAGCCCACATCATTAGTTTCTGACCCAGTAGAAAGTCTACCCAGAAGGAAAGGTGGGCATGTGGGCCACTCCAGCCTGGAACTAGGAGCTCCCTCAGGCCATCTGTCTAACTCAATCCACTCTGGTCCTCCCTTTCCAAGCCAGCTTCTTGTCACCTGGCTCTGATAATACGGATGTACTGACAAAGGACCCAAGCCTTCAGCCAACCTAGTGCTTTCACGATTTAAAATTAACAAACTGTCATTTTGGTCAGTCATTAATGAATCTGCCTGATAGCCCGGGCCCTGGGCAATGGAAAGGTCTCGAAGGCAACATCTCCTGAAGGGCCGGTCCACCGGGACAGCCGGCTGCGATCCCAGGTGTCATTTCACTATGTGAACGCCCTGTCCTCCAACTGCAACAGGACTACATCGTTTTATAATCTTTCCGTTAAAAACTTAAGATCATCAAAATACACCTTGAACCTTAGTCAATCATTCAATCTTGAAATAAAATCAAAAGGACATGTCCTGCAGGCATCTCTTTCATAATGTAAGCTGGTAGTGACAAACGAACACACACCTCAAAATACTGCGATGATTCATTGCTAATTGGGAAAATTAAAATAGGGGATACTATGTCTACCCTCTCAGACTGACCAAGAGTGAAATGTCTGAGACTCGGTGATGTGAAGTTACTTGGTATGTCCCTTTTACCCCTAGCCTTTGCGAACTCCCACCAAATGACTGGGTAGGAACCTATAAGTAAGATGTGGAGGGCGCCATCTCAGGGATGGGTCCATTTTGTCGTTCCACTGGGTATAAAGTGAGCCATCTCAGAAGCAGGAAGAGAGACGCAGGAGGGTAGAAACCACCACCAAAAAAGAACAGCCGAAAATGAAGTGCAACCGAGATCCCCGCATGGAGAGGTGGCGGAGTAGCTCAAGACGGCGACAGAGCAGAGGAGCCCTGCAAGGACCATGACACAGAGCTTCCCCCACCCACAGAACAAGTCAAGGCAGAAGCCAGGAGCCAGAGAGAGACATACCTGCTACCGGGGCTGAGAAAGGATGCTGTGAACAAAAGAACTGTCTCCTTACTGTTTTCTGATCCTAACATTGCAACCTGCTCGCTTCCCTAATAAGTCCCCATCATGGTTGAGTCCCATCTGTGGGTTTTGTGCGGCCATGACAGTGGATCACCAAACCCAGCAGATAGGTCGAGTGTCATGGGAGAAATGAACGGTGTCACCGTCAGTTAAAGAAGGCTGGAGTCCATGATGGACAGCTGGCCCCTGGGGTAGACTGGTGTTAAAGAGGAAGGTGAATATATGTATTCATAAAGCACGTTGGAGGGTACAGGCATGTCTGACCTCTGCCTCATAGGTTACACATTGGCCTGCTATCCAGAGGGTCAGCAGTTCACACTCATCAGTTGCTCTTTAGGAAGAGATAGGGCTTTCTACTCCCGTAAACAGGTATAGTATCAGTAAGCCACAGGGGCCAGTTCTAACCCACCCTACAGGGTTAGACTGAGTCTGACTCACCTCAAGGACAGTGGGTTTTGAGTTCACGTTTTCATCCCTCCTCTCGCCAGAGGAGGGCAGGTGTAGGCCCCACACCATTTTCTCAGATGCACATGTTAGGGAGCATTCTTATGAGCTGCTGACAGCCCTCTAGGTCAGTAATGCCATCTTGGAGGACAAATCATTATAGCAGAGTAAAACTGAAAACACTAGTCACTGGCCTCTGAGACCCTGTTACTGGGAAATACGCTTCAACACACGTGCACAAGGAGAAGTGCAGAAGGGTGCACATTTTAGAATTGCTTGAAATAGAAAAAAATCTGGAAACATATGTATGTGTATTAGACTGGGTTCTCAGAGAAACAAAAACCTGTGATGTATATAGAGAAATTTATATCCCCAAAGAGTGGCTCATACAATTGTAGAAGCCGGTAAGTCCAGTCCAGTGTAAGTCTATGTGTCAGATGGTAAGCTGAAGGTTTTTCAGCTCACGAAGCTGCAGGGGCTGATGAACCAGGAAGCAGGAAGCCAAAACGGTGAGAACAAGATGCTATGTGGTGTGGAATCCCAGGCAGAAGCCAACAGGAACACCTAAATCTGTACGATGCCACACCTGCCTTTGCATTGCTGGCATTACACCTGGGACGTTATTAAATAACTAAAAACATATCCACGCTTCACTTGCTCATGGGCTAAAACTAGACTCCTAGAGAGCTGTGATTTTTAGGGGTAGCCTAAATATTTCATGGCAAAGGTTTAGAATGTCCAATTCAGAATGCCGCCTGCCATCCGCCCTTCCACACAGCCATGTCGCACCTCTGCCACGCAAGACCTCATCGTTATTTGCTACATCAGTTATCTGCTATAACACCTTAGAGCTGCTATAACTGAAATACCACAAATGAATGGGTTTAACAAACAGAAATGTATTTTCTGGCAACTTAAAGGCTAGAAGTCCAAACGAAGGGCAACAGCTCTTCGGCAAAGTCGCA